GATAACCTGGCCGTAGGCCGGGCAAAAGGGCCGAAGGCCCGTTAAAGAGGGTCTGGGGGGCGAAGCCTCCCAGGCTTTTATATGTATGGACCCCCTCTAAAAAAAATTCTAGCTACGCCACTGTGTATAATAGACAATTGGAAATTAGCTTGGACTGGATCAGACCAAATGTTGAACATGAAATAGAAAAGGCTTATGAAAGACAAAGTTATAATCATAATTTACATTCGAAAGAGGGAGAATTAGAAATTGCACAACCTGCGTGGTTAAACAATGAGAACACCACAGGTTGGAGAAAGGGAGTGATCAAAGAAAAAACAGGGTTATATTCCTATATTGTTGAAACTCCCGAAAGAATATTGCGGAAACATGCAGATCAGCTAAGAAATCGCTTGATAATTCCGACTCATGAAAGTTCTTATGAAGTTATAGAATTGGTTGTGCCAGTAAATGAAGCATACAAACTACATTATGTTGTTCATCAAGAAACCGTAAACCTACAATGAGTTTTATTGAGGAAATCTAACTTTAAGATGTTTGAAGGAAATGTAATAAATTGAATTAAATGTTATATTATATATTTTATAAAAAAATGAATGGAACATTCGAATTAAATAAATTTATAAATATGATGTGATAATTTTGAAATTAATAAAAAAGATATATATTAGAATAGCTAATAAGTAATCGTAGTCGTTTTATTAAAATTAGATTTTTCAAAGTATGTCCCTTTGGCCATTGACAAAATACAAGGTGAAATAAATTGTTATTATGAGAGATAGCTCTAATTTTAAATGTTAAAGATAGCAATTTTTTTAATTCCAACTAATCTGCATTCTTGTCAAAAGTTAGCTATTGCAATAAATATTTTTCATTAATTTCAAAATATTTCGGTCTTTTATTTTTACTAACAATAATCTTTTAAAAAATAATATCTTAATTTATTGCTCAAGCTTCATCAAAGATAATATTTCTTTTTATCTCAAAGTGTTCATATAAGAACTAGTTTTATTGATAAGTGAGTGTATTTGTAATTTATTTAATCTTATGTTTATTTTTAGGTTCTTACAATGCTATATCAAACAACCTTTCATAATCAAAGCTCTTATTTTATTAAACATGAGATTTCTACCTCTTATTTTGCATGGGCGTGTAAGTGGCTTTACCTCTTGCACGCAAAGGTTGTCATGCCCAAAAATGTGGACGGTCCTTTCTTAATTATTTCTCGTCGTTTTTTATCGAACCAAGTGTTGCTCTGTTGTATATATAACGCAAGGGCTAATTGTTAATATCATGTATTACAATAGAAAGTAGAGGTAGGTGCATGCGTAATTCACTCATGCCTACACTAAAAAAATTTGTATCTAGTATTGATCTTTAGCCAGACTGGCACAATCACGAAAAGTAAAATTTTTATAACTCCTGTGATGCCATGAAATAAAATTATGTTTATATATCTTTGCAGTAATTAAGAAATCACTAATCAAGTCATATTTATAAATCAAAATATATATATGAAATGTTATATATTTGTTGAGTTCATCTTGCCTTTAGTAAATGAATATTGGCTATAAAAAATAAGAGTTAACTGAAAAATAAACTTGACGGGGCTTGGCAAAATTTTTTGAAAAAAGGTTATTTAAAATTCGAATACTTTAATAATAATAATAATAAAATGTTTAAAATTTTGAAAAATTCTATTTAGTTTACACAATTTTTTTGTTAAATTTTGGGAAATTTTTGAATTTCAAAAAAAAGTAGTTTCATGATATAATAGAAAGACTACGACTACTTATTAACTATTTTAATATATATATCGTTTATTTAATTTCCAAATTATCACATCATATTTATTTATTTTTAATTCAAATGTTTCATTCTTTTTTGTAAAAATATATAATAAATAATATTTAATACAATTCCTTCAAACATTTTAAAGTTAGATTCCTCAATAAACCTCTTTGTAGGTTTACGGTTTCTTGATGAACGTAATGCGATAATAGATTTCATTACATTTTCCCCAGGATATCTCCGGTGAATCATTCCTAACAATGCATTTCTTAATTTATTATAATAACCAATCTCCTATTCCATTCTTATCACGATCGACAAAAAGCTCTTCCCGTCGATTATAGATATTATCTTTATGACGATCAAAGTTTCGCCAACTTTGCTGAATGTGCAATGTTGTTTTTTTAAATATTACATCTTGCTTCGACTCTTTTCCTAAAATATTTTCTGACAATTGCATATCATTCAAATGAATACTTCGAATATCCAAAACATGTTTAGAATCTTGATTCTCTTCCATGTCTTATATCGGAAGCCCTGATAATGCGTCGGCAATTACATTTTTATTACCAGGTCTATATTCTATTGTAAAATCATAAGAAGATTACGAATAAAACGTTCATGATAATTCACGAGTCCTAGAAAAGATCTAAGTTGTATATTTTTAGGTTTTGGTGCATTTTGGATAGCCTTCACCTTTTCTGGATTCGGATGTTTACCGAATTATCAATAATCATCCCTAAAAATGAAACCGATTTTTGTAAAAATATCCCTTGTCAATTTCGCCTTAAGACCTGCTGTCTGTAATCTGTCTAACATGATTCGTAAATTATTTATGTGCTTCTCATTGTTTCGACCAGAAATAATTACGTCATCTAAGTGGACACCAGTCATTTGGCAATCTTTTAGCAACTCATCCATATATCTCTAGAATATAGTAGGTGCACTTGCCATTACAAAAGGCAATCGTCGGTAACGGAAATAGCCCTTATAAGTCACTATCGTTAGTAATTCCTGAGATTCCGATTCTACTTCCATCGGTAAATACGCATCTTTCAGATTTATCACGGTAAAGTTATCATCACTATGAATTTTCTCTAACAATTCGTCTAAGCTAGGAATAACATGATGGCCATACAATAAACATAGATTGAGCGTAACTTTGAAATTAGCTCAAATTCGAATATCGCCATTACTCTTGCGTACATTTACGGCTGGCGTTGACCACTGCACCCTAGTTATAGTCGAATCAATCTGTTGAATTTGAACCGATGGGTCCCCCAGTCTGAGTGGAAAAAATACAGTCCGTGATCGGGGGTCCGGGATGGTCGATGACGGGATCCAGGGGGCCGGGTTTTATAGATTTAGTCATGGTATCACTCGGACAACGTAGTGGCCATAATATTTTCAAAGTTTATTCAACAAATTAAAGTCGATGTTACAAAGCAAAAGTAAAAAAAAATCCAAACTCATCCAATAATCAAAAAAAAATGTATATAAATTTTACCATCAAAAAAAAAATATTTAATGCCCAGAAAAAGGTATTTTTCCAACCTTTATAATTTTTGAAAACAAAGAGAAAAAAAAGGTTGTTATATAATCGCGATACAATCATTCTTGAAACTGGTTAGAACCAGTTTCAAATGCAATATAAAAATAAGGTATAATATCAATTTCATAACCAAAAAAAAGGAAGATGGGAAAACAAAAGAAGCAAGTAGAAAACAAAAACGTAAAGAGAAGAAATAAGTTATACGGGACAAGTGGGGAGATAGAACATAACACAATCTTTTCGATAATTTCTGCAGCCTCTAATCGTATTCTAATTTTATTTCAATTGCTTTGCGAAGTGGAAATGGTACCCTACGGGCTGGAAACGATCTTGGTACAGCTGTATCCTTTAAATGTATTCGCACCGCAAAATAACGTATATGTCCCACTTATCATCAAAAATTTTTTGAAGTTTATTAATCAAATCTCGAATCTAATGTTATCCAATATTTTTCTTTTTCAATAGTTTTGACCAAATTGCGTACTTGTTTAATCATAACCTGACGAGACATTCCTAAATTGAATGCAATTATCCATGGTAATACGAAAAGAGGCACCCCAGTTGTATTCATTATTACCACTGATAGGGTCCTTGTCTATGATTTAATCCTAACATTGACTTGGGTCTCGCCCTTAACGTCTAACGGATGATCACCAAATGCAGTCAATGGACTGGTTGGTCTAATTTTTGGCCGTCTAATACTTGTCCATATATCAATTCCTATCAATGACGCTTGTGCACTAGTGTCAAAATCAAATTCAAGATCTAACATATTATCTCTGCAGTTAGTTTTGCTCGATTCTCTCGATTTTGTTGAATCCTCCATATTTTATGAATAGAATCATTTGATGACACTCTTATATAATTTAAATTCTTTGATTTACAACAAACTGCAAAATGACCAATTTTTTACATTTATTACATGCCGCATTTGTAGCTGGACATCTCACTTCTCGGTTATGAATAAACCCACATTTACAACATTTAAGTTTATTATAATCTTTATAATTATTATATTTAATATTCTCTTTATCAAAAGTATTATTATACTTGACTTTATTATAGCTTTTATCAAATATAGTCGTTTTAATTGTATGTTTATAATTATTATCATTTCTTTTGTTGTTATCATTTATCTTATTAACAGGTATATTTTTATTTGCCATTTCTTTATCTGCTCGCTCAGTAGTTAATGCCAGATAAAGAATAAATTGGAAAGTTAATACATTATTATCTCTATCAAGACCCTCGGGATATAGAGCTCTAAGATCTCTTTCCAATCCTGGCTCATGCCAACCATAAACTGATTACGTAAACACTCATCAATATCATTAAGATATTGACAATGCTTGCCAATTGTTCTAATTTTATCTGCAAATTCAGTTATGGTTTCAGTTTTTCTCCATAATCTAATTCAAATCCTGAAGCAAAAGTTGTTAGTGTCGGTTTAAACAATTTAAAAAATATTGACTTATTTTCACTAAACGATAAAGTTTCAATCGAATCAGGATAACTAAAACGGTCCACCAACTCAATATTCTTATTGCCAAAAAATGTTAAAAATATATCTTTATATTGACATTCAGATGGGCTTACGTTTTTTTAACAGAAAACTGGCTCCCATTGAGAAAAATAACGAAAAATAGAAGATTCGCCATCGAATTTATCAAGTTTAATTGTAGATAAATCCATCAATTTTCGTTTTTCCGCCATATTTTTTGAATCTCCATTTAAGGAATTATTTTCTCCATTCGTCGCCATTTAATAAAACGACTATGAATTATTAGCTATATATCGTTTATTTAATTTCAAAATTATCACATCATATTTATAATTCGAATCCATTCTTTTTTTATAAAATATATAATAAATAATATTTAATACAATTTATTATATTAATCTATGAATATAAATAAAAAAAGTGGAGTAATAGGGGATAAAGCTCTCAGGTTTCAGTAGAACTAGAGGCAGTCCTTCTTTTACACTGTTTATTTTTATTTATTATAAAATACATATTTAATGGGCCATTAAGATATTTTTAAAAAATATCATTTATCCCTAGTATAGTTTTTTGTCATCAAACAAAATAAATACTCCTTATTACAATGATAGATATTACAATCGATAAAAAAATAAATAAATCATGCTTAAATTTATATGTATGAATTCTTTTATTTGGACAATTTAAGAGTAGAATGATTAGCCTTTAAAAAGGACTGAATATAATTTAATTTTATATTTCAAATTATAAACCAATATTATATTATAACTTTTTGAATATTAAAATAGTAATTGTATTTCCAAGTTGAGATCCAAATTTAAACAATGAGGCACTAATATCTTCAATCATTCTGAAGGCTTAAATAAATGTTATTAAATGGTTTAAAAATAGCATTCTTAGTTAATAAAAGGAAATTTATAAAATAAATTACTTTTATCAAAAATGGCAAGTAATTCTTTTCTTGTCCAATTACATGATATAATAAAAAATAACCCTTCTTGTTTAAGAATATTTTGTAATGAGTAAATATAACTGTCTATTTTGTCATCTTGAAATATAATGCATGCTTCTTCTTTAGATTTATTGACAGTTATAGCATCAAAAGTACCCTTATCAATACAGAGATCAAATAAAATATTTTTATATTTATTTTGCAAATTGTCAAAATCTAAGAAATCACAATGCTATAATTAAAATAAATTTTAAAAGGTATAAAAATATAACATACATTATAAGATATATTTGTATCTTCATCTTTAGCTAAGGATTCAGCAAGGATAATAGATTTCACACTGTAATCCAAACCATATAAATTGATAAAGCCTTTTTTAAACTATTATTTATGAGAAATATGTTATAACATCATGTTTATTAATTTTACCAATTCAATAAGCAAAACACCATTGCCAGTTCCTATGTCCAATATAAAGCTTTCATAGTTAATCATATTTGTTTTCTCGATCCATCCAATGATCTTTTTAAGATTAATTTTGCCAAACCTTTATTTCTAGATATAAAATTTAATATAAAAATGAGTTACCAAATTTCTCCTTGATCTTTATGGTCATTATAATTTTGAATTTCTTCTTGATAAAATTCATTCCAACTCAATTATACATATTTATTAAAAAATATACGATAGATTTACTATTCAACTTTTGAAAGATCATTCCTGAGCATAATATTTTAACTTAATGGTAGGCTGTCAAATTAATAGAAATATCAAATTAAAACAGCTCTCAGTTGTCTAAATCATAAGACAGGTCCCGCCTTAATTTTATTTTCTATATATATGGTATTCTATATTATGGATTGGAAATTAAAAAATTGTCACATACCCTCGAATTATTAGCATAAAATGACATTGCAACCAAATCAATCTTTTAACATAGGTTTTTAAACTAGTTACATTACATGTAAATATGATGGCTAATTTTAGACGCAACACAGGAACGAGGATTTATTACTTTTTTTAACATGTTGACTGAGGTTCATTGATAAATACTAAACAATTCTTAATTATATTATATAGAAACCTAATACCACGATAAGGATTTTTGATAGAGGAGTAAACTCTTTATTGAAATTACTTATTTTTGATAATTAGGAATATTACACAGTTCATGGCAATGATGCCATATACACATCTAAAGAAGTGTTTAAGACTACTGGAGTTTTAAAATATAATGGGAAAAGTTGAATATTTTTCTATTGTTCTAATTAATTGTATTTGAATAGATCAAAAGTTACCATATGTAGTGTTAAGCAAATTGAATTTTGAAAGTTTTGCCAGAGATCTTTTATTAGTTAAAAAATATCGAATAGAGATATTCAAAGGCAATGTTAACAAAAATGATTGGACTTTATCTATTAAAGTTTTATAGTTTTAATTATTTAAAAACAATATTTCTCCATTATTAAAATTATTAGGCATCTCCTGGTAATTTATGGCAAATTGAAGATATATTGTTTGGGAACTTTGATTTGAATACAACTTCTGGCATAATGTCAGTTAAATTAAGATCAGATGTTCAGCAGCAAAATGTAAATTTTTAATCTTGATATGAATATGCATTTATTTAATCCACATTTTTTTGGTTTTAATAAAATATAAATAATAAATATTCTTTACACAATTAATATATAAGAGTATGCCTAATTTAAAATTACCTCTCAAAAATTTAATTGAAAAATTACAGTATATTGGTGTGGCATACTATGAAGATTTTGAGAGCCTAAAGTTTAATATCACTGAATTTTATGACGATGAACAATTATCCACTTTTGAAGTATTTTTTTTTTTAAATATAATATTATTTTATAATTCTATAGATTTATATTTCATTTAATTTTTTCAATATGTGCAGTAAAATACTTGAAGTGATCATTAAAATTTTTAATAAATCCAAATAAAATAAATGCTATAAGGTAGTATGTGTTTAATAATAAAGGAAAGAGTTTTGTTAAATATTTTGATGAATTCTCCTTTTGAACGAATAACTAAAGGACATAACCAATTTTAGATTTGTAAGTCTTGATATGAAGCCATTCCACTCCATCTTTCCTCTGAACATTTGAAGATTTCCATTGGGCTTTGCACTGTCTGCAATATAATTTTTTCCTTTACTTGTTCCTTTATAAAACTTTATTCAAAAAAAAATGAGCCATCATTTCAATGCAAATTTTCTAGAGTCCACCATCCTAGGCACAATGTCATGAACAATTAATTGCTAAAGCCCTTAAAACAGGGATGCGAACCCAAATCCAGGTTCAAGAAATTTAAAATTGTTTGGTTGGGCATTTTAAAACTACAGAACAAACAGAGACCTATTTTACGACAACTCAGTAAATCCGGGGTAAAATGGACATGGGGCAGGTTCGGACCCCTCCTAGGAAATTGATTATGATAATATTCTTGTTATCAAAATTTCCATTAAATGAAATTTAAAATTCTTGAACACGGGTTCAGGTTCACATCCCTGCTTAAAAAGCCAATATCCTATATTCCTTAGAACTTATACGGATAAATTTATTTTACGGCAAAAGGTCAGATGGGTTGACTGATTCCCTGGGAGAGAGGATTTTTCCTTGCTTGGGATTATAACTATATGGATATATTTGTTAAAGCAAATGCCCATGAATATTCCATCAATTAAGTGGTAAATAGCAGAAGAAATAAATACTCATTCCTAAACAATGTCCACTTTGTTCCTGTGGTCACCACATCACTCATCAGTTTTAGACCTGAGGTCCTTATCTTTTTAAAATCTACAGGGGAAATTTTCTGTGCTATTCAGCTATACTAAAGAATACTTATATCTGTACCAGAATACTAGCTTATAAATTTGCAGATCTAATTGTTCTATGCAGTCTTCATAGATTTAATTATAATACTCATTTTTTAATATGGTTTTTAAATTTTATTTTAATATAATTTAATATAAATTTTTATTTAAAATAACATTTTTTTAAAAAAATAAATAAAAGTTTTTAATTTTTAATCTGAAAGAGTGCGAATAAAATTTTTAAAAATTGTAACATAGATATTACGAATTAGTGTTATTTTAATAATGAAAAGTTACCATTTTTTTATTAAATTGAATGCCGTTTATTAGTAACTCTACTTTACAGCACTGATTCTTATTCAATTTAAAGAAAGTATAGTTTGGAACTAAATTAAATCTAGCACCCCTCTTTTTTGATCCTGAATTCAATTTTAAATTTCTGGTAAACGAAAAACCTCATTAGCGAAATTTCTAGGAGTCGGAATCACTTAAAATATTGTAGAATTCTTTTTAATCCAAAGTTCAAACTGACTTAATTATTTTTTATTTAATATTGAAATATTATTATAGGCCCTGATAGTGCACCTGGGACCAAAAGAATGTTTGTTGCCAACTAAGAGCAAGGACAATTCTTTGCTTGACCTAAGTGACAAATTAACAGAAATTCTGGAGAGAAACAAAGTTTTAATCACTGAACGCAAAAAAAGTTTTGATAAATATAAATTACTCTTAATACTCTATAAGGTCTTAAAATTATGAGTGCTTTCTATTTACAAAGTTAGGATTACTTTCTGAAAGATAAAAACATATTAAAATTGTGTAACATCATTAGATTTAAGAGTTAATTTATAATTCATTTGTTTTAAATTAAAATAAAGATGATTTCACGACACAAGATGTAGTGCAAGATATGAACAAATTGCTTAAATTTAAAAATAATCAAAGTTCCAATTTTTCAAGCTACCCTGAATATCAAAACAGCCAATTGGCTTTATCTTGTACATCAGCGATCATCAAATACCTAGACGTAAATTACTTATAAATTAATTTTTCATACTTTACTTTTTTTTCAACTGATTGTAAAATATTTTTTATAATGTGCTATGAATCGAATCAGAGATTTGCAGGGGCCAAATTTTCTGGCCTCTGTCCGGATTTGAATTTTTTCAACCTATTTTTGAACTAAACCTGGATTAAAGCTCCTTCTTTTTTTTTAGCTTGGCACGTTTTTAATTTATTTTTTAACAAAATTTTTAAAATTATGAATTTTTCTACCTGAAACTGCCAATATTTTTTAAATTATCGTTTTAAATTTTTTCATTGTATCAAAGAGAAATTGAAAATATAACACAATAGTTTATAAAATAGTTGTAATATAGGAGAGATATAAGAGCCTTAATTGACAATAAGAGAAAATTAGATATAGATATTAAAGATGTGCAGGAAAATTTGTACAAAAGAATTTGGGTTGTGGCGGACTATTAGTAGAATTTTAATGGGCCAGGCCTGATTTTTTCTAAATTTTAAAAAAATCTTAATGGGCTGACTGGATATAAAATTTAACTGGCTGGGGTGAAAATTTTATGCAAAAATTCTTGCTGGGTTGGGCCTTGCAGACTTGAAGTTTTTACATATCATTATATAAATATTAAGAAGAAAATTAAAAACTATAATTAAATCGATTTTTCTAACTATTTTTTTAAAATATTATATGGTCATAAAATAAATGTTTCAAAATAAAATAGTCACTATTAGTAATTATTGTGATATATACTATGCGATTGTTATAATTTCTTAATTAAAAGAAAGACAAAAATATGTATAAATTATTCTGGACATATTGATTACAAAATAAATTATGAATTATTTTTAATATTGGATTCAAGGTAAAAGGATATTATTACTATAATTTAATATATTAGCATATAATCAGTTAAGTTTCTTAGTAATCAATTAGGTTTCATTTTAGCGTATTGTTGATTTAAAACCCTTTTTACTGTTTTAGTTATTTTTTTAACATAAAAATAGGAAATATTATCAGTCCCAGCCTAGATTGAAATGAAAAATGATAACACTTTATGTATGCTCTATTTTATTCCCACACATCCTTCAAATAAATTGACTTAAATGATCATTCAGGTCACCCAACATTAACCATAAATAAACTGCACTGATTAGGTCATTTTATCATTGTTACACTACTTTTTAACTATTCTTTTATTACAATGATGATATTCATCTATCAAGCTACTGTCGCAAGATTGTCATTACGGTGTTTACAGTTTGGATACTTTAAACGTCGAAAATTTTATGAAGTTGGATATGGCAGCCATCAAAGCTCTCAATCTATTTCCGGAACATTCCGATATGAGTAAGCTCAATACATATTTTTTTACCATAGTGCCTTTCTTCGATATTGTTGACTTATAATCAGAGGTTGGAACTAAAACTAATCTAGGATCTAGTACCTAGAGCCCTTTTAAAATTTATAGGAACCAGAATCCATTATAAAAGTTCCAGTAACTAGACATGGATGGAATCATCGGAGTCTTCACTATAAAAGCTAGAACCGGAACCAGACTACTTTTTCATGGGGGCGGGACGGGCAACGCTGGCATCCCCCTCCTTTGATACTGCTTATAATCTTTCTAATAATGTTAAATCAAAATTCAGACTCCGAAACAAACAAACACCGGCCACAAAATTTGTATGCACTTTTAAATAAATGTCGAACGAGTCAAGGTCAAAGGTTATTGCACAGATGGATCAAACAGCCACTATTGGATGTAAATAAAATAGGTTTGTTTTCTTTTTCTCTAATTTTTTGGTTCATACTGCTAAAAGTGATTTAAAATTTTTTTTATTGTGTTTAAGTACCTGTATTTTTATCTCCATGCTGAACATTGAACAGCTATTTCTTTTAAAATATATATATTATTTGTCTTAGATTTAGAAATTTTTAAAATTGTTTTAACCCTTTTTAGCAAAAAATACGTGTTGACAATTCCTTCTTTTTGTTATAGTAATAAGTTTTATTTATTTAAATAAAATGTACATTAAATTTTTCAAAAATATTTAAAAAAAAAATAAGTGGCATGATATTGCTTCCATCTTTCCCGTCAATATCAAGATTCATAAAAGAATTTAGATTTTATTAAATCTGTTTTATTCGTCATTAATAATTTATCGCTTTAAAAAAATAAATCTTATAGTTTTTAATTTAAAACAGAGACGAGAACCCTCCTTCTAAAAAAATGGGTTTGGGTTCAATGAAGAATCTCTGAACCCGGTTCAGGTTCGGGTGGGTTCAGAGTTTGGAGACTTGAAAAATAATGACTTATTAAAATTAGTCAAAATAACAGAAACATCATTTTTTTAAAAAATTTATTTTAATTAGTATCGCCATAAAAATAATATCATCATAATAGAAATATAATAGCTGATAACCTGTCAAAAATGATAGGGAATCAGAATTTTCTCCTTATGGATAAATAATAAATTTTACCTTCATTTGACGATGGATGAATCAGAATATTCAAATAATAGGAATAGATTATCTATATTCATTCTTCCAAGATTTCTATAAATTTTTAGAGAAAAGGCCAAATATATTATGGAAAATATGGAATAAAGAAAAATGATTTGTGAATTATGATATTAATCAATTTTTTTAACAAATTTCCACATTCAGACGCAATGGTTTTTGCCCTCTCACTTCATATAAAATCTAGATTCATCTCAAAGAATCATTTAAATGCTTTTAAAACCTTCCTAAATATTCTTTTAAAAAATACCTGCCATCTTAAATTTGAATCAATTTTGGGGGACATGATTACTCACAAACACTGTGGTGGTATCCACCCCATTGCAATGGGCTATTTAGAAGATTATTAGCAAAAATAATTGCCATGAGTCAAAACCCAAGGTCTTAACTTATTAAGTATACGTATTAATTAGGATTTAGTGATAAGGAGAAGGCAAAATAGCTTCATATGCCATTTGTATTATATTCAAAATCCTCCTCCTAACATGGCTATTATCAAAGTAGACCTTAAAAATTATTTCAATAGCAAATTTCGTGAACATTTTATAAATTGTTTTTATCCCAAATTTCCTTTTTATTTAAAATTCCTAGAGATATATTGGAGCATTAAAACTTCTTTATTCAGCCCACTTGACAGATTCTGACGAAAGGATCCATCAGAGAACACACATCCCCGTTTATTTTACCTTGATATTCATTATCTCATCCATTATCTTAAATTAAATTTATTTGGATATAAATTTTTTATATCTTGATGAAGGAACAATCTGTGATGCTCTTATAAAATAAAAGGTTTTAATTTCTTCAAGCCAATTTGACTCATTCTTAATATGTCCAAAGCCAAAATCTGTTTCCATGATCCAAATATACAAAACCCTCATCTAGCAAGATTAAATTTTTTATTGAGTACATAAATAATAAAAATTAAAAAAATAAGGAAATTAATAAAATTTAAAAAAAGTATGGTTTAGGAAAAAAAATGCATTGCTGGATTTGAACCCAAAGACATTAGATTCGTAAGCGACGTTCTTGCCGATTAGGCCACAGACGCTTTTCAAAGTTGAAGATTTTTTAAATATATATTATAAATTATGACACTCTGACTTGACACGGCTTTTATATATATATTATAGATTATATGTAATATAATATTTAAATACAATTTATATATAATATAATATTTAAATACAATTTAAAAATATCATTACATTTCTATTTTGGAATTTTTATTTAGGCGAATTATCATAATATCTTCTAAAATATCATCATTAAGATTTCCACGTAGGCCCGACAATATAAATTTTAATGATGAGAATGATCGTTCAATGCTAAGCTAGTATTAATTAAGTTTAATATAATATATATAATGTATTTGTGTTGATGGGACCATAGAACAATTTTCGCTAACGTGTATAATTCTGGATAAATTAAACTATTCTCTTTCCAGAAGTCTAAAATATTTACATCCTTGTTAATTCTTTTAATGTGTGAAAAAATTTCTAATAATGAGCTTTTGATTCCTGTTCACTTTGATGCTGTGTTAATTTTTTTCTCTTTTTCTAATAACAATCTTTCAAAATCATCATTATCATCATCCAAGATCATTTGTAGCTGAAATTAATGTTGATCCATTCAATAATTTAATGATTTATGTTTTTCCCATAATTCCGTTAAATGAGTTTTCGCAACCTTTTACTGATCAATGCTTAATAGGATTTGATATCTGGGGTCTAAATATAGTGATGCATAAAGAATATTATAATTTAAATAAATATCCTCCTAAATCTCATATGCATTAATATCTCATTAGAAATATTATTGACTATTTTTTCCAATTCTAAACGGTATTTTATCCAAATGCCATAAAAATCGGAGAGGCATGATTGTAGCCTCAAGGTTGTCGCCTTAATTAGTTTCAAAACTACACTTATGTTAGCTATTGAATCCCATTCTGTTTTCTCTAGAATAAGATCCGATTTTGTAACAAAATTCTTACAAAAATCTTTCAATTTTAACAATTGATCCATCATATCGTAAACCGATGACCATCTTGTTGTGTTGTATAATCAATTATGCTATAGGTTTTTTCAGTGATTTCAAGATTTTAACGATCGTTGGAGTTCTTAAAAATCTTACCACTTCCCTTACTCAGTCAATAATTGATTTCGCATAACTTGTCTTTAAAAAATCATTAATGGCCAACTGTAATGTGTGTGCTGCACATCTAATGCTCTTTTGGAGTTAAATCTTTCAATATCTGGGACAGATCTGCTATTTCTTCATTTATTATATCGTCATTTATATCATCCTCATCCCAATTCCCCCTTCCACAGATTCATTTAATAATCTATCGGTTATTATAGTGTATAGTATAGGTTGTCTAATGGAATGCCAAATTTATTCAGAGTCTCTAAAATCATTTTTTTAATATATCTCCTGTAGCTATTTCTTTCATTTCTCATCGCCAAATTTCTTAATACGATGATATTACCTCGAATATATTGAATATTTATTCCCAGAATGCTTCTATAATCGTTTAGCAGAATCAATTTTTAAACAAACTAATTTATTTTTTGTTTCTCTTAATTTTTCTCACTATTTTTTTTAGACTCTTCTATAATTAAGTCTCTAATTTTATAACGACGCACCCAGGGCTTTAGTAATATAGTCAATAATTTTTTTAAACCCAGTATCTTCAATTATTGAAAAAGGGCTGTCATTAATAACCATTTCTATTAAAGCATTTGTTAGATCTTCTTATGACATCGAAATATGAATAGTTTTTTTTGTAAAATATCTTTCAATTTTATTAATATTATAGTATATTCTTTTATATCAGATTTGTAGTAATCAAGGTTTTAGTCGAAGTTTCTATGATTTTCGTTTTTTTAACCTAAATATTCATAGAATTGTTTCGAGTGAATCCTCTTAATATGTCTCTCTAAATTACTATTATGATTCCCTGTTAATATTTCATCACATATTCTACATTCAGAATCTCTTATCATTAAATTTAAAATATTTGGCTAATAAATCCTTGATTTTCATCTACAAATTAAATTTATAACAAATTATTTAAATTTAAATTAAACTACCTAAACTTAATTACAAAATTGATAGTAGAATTTGCCTTAATTTAATTATAATTTATATGACATATTCTAGAAAATATATATTTGATTATTAAATTTACTTTATAAATAAATAGCCACCATTTTTATATATATTTTTAATAGCACTTATTTAATATAAATTATATTTGATAATTAGCAACTTACATTTTTTAAAAATATTTTACCAGTGATTTCGTACTTCTTTTTATAATACACGAACAACAATATTCTAAAATAGATATTATTATATATTATCATCATTTAAAAAAAAACCCCTTTTAATCTGCTTTGCTGGGGAAAATTTAAAAATTTTTACGAAAAATATCAGACTCTTAAATATAACAAAAATAATTCCACGAAATTTTTAAATTAATATTTTTTTTGAATAAAAAAACAATTGTTTTAAATAAGAACTCTTTTTAAATAGGAAATTTTTTATAAATAAAAATCGTTAATTACATGTTTTTTATATTGATTTTTTTTAATATATAATGCAAAATAAATAAAATGAAAGTTTAAAATAAAAAAAATAAATTTTTTATAATTTAAAAAAAGGCCCTGGACCTTAATTTTTTAAAAAGGGTTTGGGTTCAGCGAAATATTGAGGGTTCGGGTTCTCGTCCCTGATTTTAACATTGATAAATTTAAACATGATAAATGTCATAATAGATTAACTTCTGTTTCAAATATGTGGAATGATTAAAGTATATTTAATTTTAATATTTTGAAGGTTTCAATAAAGATGATCTAAACATATATTTTGTAAATGGTTTTTAATTCATATTATCCTGCTTGAAAAGTTAAATTCTATATGAATTTTGTCAGTTATCTTATGAATGATTATGGCATTAGAAATATAAATATATATTTTTCTAATATTAAATTTAGATTGTATTGTACTTTTATAAATAAATTTTATAAAAAAATAAAAAATATTAAATCTAGTAAAATTAATAAAAACAAATGATCACGATTACAAAAAACTATAGATGAAAGATTAAATGTAGTTGAAACGTTTGTAAAGAATTATGGTTTAAGGCAACTTTTTGCCGATTCTCACCTTAGGAGGATGCCCGATTTTCAGAAGATAGCGAGAAAATTTATGAGGAAAAAAGCTACCCTGCAGGTTTTTTAAATATAAAATTAAATTTTAAATGGTCCCCATTTTAAAGTAAAGGTATCATAGTTGCATACGAGTAAATAAAATATAGACTAATCGTCTCAATTACTCTACAATCAAAAAAGTACTTTTACATAAAGTATCGAAACTTAGTATCCGATAAACATTGTGTATCGAACGGTATCTTATCGGCAATACTTTTGAAATTTCTATGTATCGTCTTGGCTCGATATTTATATATCGGTACCGGCAAAAATTTTGATATTCTTTTATATTAAAAGATAGGTAATTCTCTATCTATTTATCAATAAAAAAACTAGAAATAAAAAATGATTTAATTTTCACTACACAGTTAAAAAAAATATATAATTGATCCTAATTATTTTATCTTATATTTTTCATTATAGTTTATTTCTCTATTCTTTATTAAAAAAATTTAGAAATATTTAATTTTCACATAGATATTTTATACAATATGTATTGCTATTTTTAGTAGAGATGTATTTGTTAATTATTTAGTAGTTATTTTAAAAATGAATCTTATCAAATATATTTATATCGGTAACGATGGACTTGTTTAAAATTTATATCGGCATCGGTTTTGATACATTTTAAAAGTAACGTTAAGAATTCTTATATTACTATATAAAAACCTAAAAAATCCAAAATTGTATTGCAATTTTATATTCGAGTTTTTTAAACTTTATTAATTTTATTGGTATATAATTAAAATTATTTTGAAATAAAATTTTTATTTTTTATTTTTGCTTATGAAAGGACGTTTACAGGATATACAAAGCCGTAAAATGGTTACCCAACATAGTAACTTCCCTCGATTCTGACATTGAAAGTGACCATAAAGACAATCATTCTAACAATTGTAGTACCACATCGATCCTTACCAGCCATTTTTCCGTTCGAATCGGGGAAATTTTTAACGATTTCACCAAATATATCGAAATGTGCGAACTCATGATTGACTTAGAGAGGATCGAGAATAACCAGGAATACCTTATTAAGCCAGAGTTTGATGAGGATTTAAAATGTAATTTAATTGAACTAGTTCTGCTCCTCTCTCCTATCACTTTCTAGAAATTGCTACACAATTAACCATAATTATTTAAGGTTTAAGAGAATCGCTAAATCAATTAGAAAACTCGATGCAAGCTCAATTCAAGTCAGTGGCCAAAGACCTTTCCTTGGAACAGGGCAAGGGTATTAAACTCGAATACAGTTCACCCATTGGACATTATTATAGAATCACTAAAAAAGTTTTTCTTTCTTTACCATATCATTAATCGAATGTTAATTTTTTTTATTTAAGGATTCATTTTGATTTGAAATCATCACAAATTTGTTTTGACTATATTTTTAATTTAATTCCATATGGTCTAGTCATCTTGTTGAACATATTTAAAATAAATTTTGAGGTTTATAATTCAATTTTAAACAAATAATGCTTAAAAAACCATTAAAAAAAAATTAAGTTGAGGAAATTATGAGTAAAAAATTGGAAAGTAATTTCATTTATGGTAATATTAAATGGTGTTTAACTAGTGGGAAAATCAGTATTTTTAAACTGCTCCATCCATCCAATTTTAAATTAAGATTTTAGCTAAAATAATATTACGCAAGTCTCGATTTCTTTAATAGATATTCAACTTTTCCATTATGAGCAAATTCTCCTGACTCAATAATATCTTTTGCTAAAATATTGGGTTAGTCGTTTTTCCAACCTTTTAACAACACTAGGGAAAATATAAAATCTCAATAGCTAATATTATAAAATAATCAGAAAAACTTAGCACAAAAAATCCAAAATGAGTTAAATATAAAAAAAATGAAGGACGAAAAATGTCTCAGAAACAACAAAAAATACACAACGATAGACACCAACAACAACGGCGTGCGTTTTAAAGATAGCAAATTAGACACTCTTAACCTATCTTATATGCAAACCAAAGCAGATTACGAAGAACATCAAAAGATTGTCGTGGATGAAATCATGAATATTGCATGTTTTTTTTAAAATATAATATTAATCAGAGACCTGCATCCGGATCAGTTTGGGGTTTTTTTCGTATGACCCGGATTTTTATTTTTGAGCCTTTTTTGGCTCATCTGGAATTGATCAAATGTTATTATTTTAAATAATTTTACAAATTGTTTCAAAGGAAATGAAAATATGAGCATTAAATGTATAATAAACGCTGTATTGACTTATTAGTTGATATATTTTTTTAAAAACAAAATTGAATCATCTCCCAGGCCATATTTTTAATTTTTTTAAATTTTAAACCTGACCTGGATTAAAAAAAATCATATCATTTTCTGGCCTACAGGTCTCTAATATAAATATAACATGTCATTTGGTAATTTAGGCCATTAACTCGTTAACCTAAGTATGAATAGATTTTTTTTTTAAATTTATGAGCACTTAAATTCAAGCAGGACTTAATGGTCTACTTTTAGATAAGTTTTGTTTAATACATTATTATATATATTTACTCTAAGTGATTCCCTCCATGCTGATTTTCTTTACCTATCCACAGTAAGTAAGAAAGTAATTTGTTTGTAGCTGAAATTTTAGGTTTAAAACAACTTTTATTTATTAATATTTTTTGGAGACTATTCATTAATATAAAAATCATGCTTTAAAATAAATAAATTGGTTTCATAAACTTAAATATGACATGATAATAATTAACATTTTCTTGATACATTAAACATAATAAAACTCAAAAAGCGGGTTACACTGACCCCTTAATGAAACTGACGGAAATAACTGCCGAATTGGATGTACTAATAAGTTTTGCTGATGTTTCTCAAAATACGGCTTCACAACCTTATGTTAGACCTATCGTTTTGCCTAAAGGTTTTCTTTCAAAAATATTGTTAAAATAAAAAAATTAATAAGATGAAGGAGGTAAATGAAATTCATAGAATATATATATATATACTTAATATTAGAATGAAGTGAAAAATCAATTATTTATAAATTAGATGGTCTATGAAGAGTTAGTTACCTTTTATATGTTTTATTTTAATTTGCCTTGATATTTTAATTAGAGATATGCAAAGTGGGTTCGGGCCTGGCCGGGCCTAATATTTTTAAAAAAATTTTAGGCCAGGTTGGGTCGGACCTTGGAAATTTTATTAAATATGTCTAAATTTATCAATTTTATATAGAATTTTTATGTAAAATAAAAATTTTTGATTTAATTTATTGAACGCTATATAACATATGTCTTTTATTTTAAGTAATTATAAAAATTAATTTCTATATTTAAATAAATTCTGGCCGGGCCGGCAAAACTTTTTTAAAAAAAATTTCGAGCCGGGCCGGGCTTGAAAAATTAGGCCCGATGCAATCACTAATTTTAAAATTAACATACAGATTATTATTATATAAAAAAATTATGTAGAAGAGCGGATAATTGACATAAAACAAGCCCGAAATCCATGTATGGAAATTCAAGACGATATGTCATTTATACCCAACGATATTTATTTCAAAAAAGGTTTTTTATTAAATATGATACAAAAAATCTTAAATGATTAAATATCCCATTATGAAAGAAATCTAATAGATGTAAATAAAAGAAAGATAAAAATAAATTTTTTGTTGGGTATCATTGCACAATTTAAAAATATCGTTATATGGCATTGTTATTTTTTAAAATCAAAGACAAATGATAATACGACAGGGTTGCCTCAAAATCTAGAATGGATATTGAACGTTTTGGACCAAAATCACGAAAATGTAAAAAAATATTGTTGATAAAAACTTCCAGTTTCTGAGCAAAGATTGCAATTAGATAATTAGACATTTTTAATTAAAAAATAAATATACATATATTTTTAGAATCGTCATTAAATTTAAAGTAACCCAATTATTTAATTGCAATCTTTACACAGAAACTGGAAGTTTTTATTAACAATACTATTTTTTTTATTTTCGTGATTTTGGCCAAATATTTTTATGAACAAAATTATTTTTTTAAATTTTCTATATTTTTGTGATTTTGGCCAAATACTTTCTAGATTTTTTTTAAAGATAGAAAACGTTTTCTATATATCTAGATTTGTATAACTGACAGAACATCTTGCGAATATTATTAAAAGTTTTTTATATTTGGCTGGAAATTGTGAAAAGGTTTATATTTATCTGACAATTCTGGTAATATTTTAGTTGTTCTCAGCTACGACATTATGATAGAACTTGTTGAATCGATTTTCGCTATTTAGTACAAATAATTTTTATTTAGGGTTGATTAATAGTTCTAATGATTGTACAAAATGTTTAAACAAAACTATTAAATTAAACCAAATAGAGTTTATGCTATAATCTCAAAAAGATGACAGATAATATTTTTAAACAAAATATTAATAAAATATATTTAGTTCGAGATTTTTATATTAATTTCGCACAAGCGTCATATTGAATTTTTAAACCAATGACACATATTTACAAATTAATACAAGATATATTTTCCTTATTCGAATTATAGGTGAAACAACCTTTTACATCATAACCGGCCCGAACATGGGAGGAAAGTCTACTTATATAAGAACGGTTTGTGATTTAATTTGACATAAAGAAAATATTTCCTTCTAATTTTTTCAAACAATGACATCTTATCATAATCTTACTTAAATATTTGATTAACCCTGAAATTTTTTATCTTAATATCGTACATTATTATTTATCTAATTTTTAATTGCAAAATATTATTTTATATTTGATGAAAACTATGTTTATGAATAATTATTAGCCACTTTCAAAAAAAGATCATATATAATCATCATATATCGATCGTCCATTATTTATGTATAAAATATATTTCTTTATTTTACTATATTTGAAACACGTGATTAACAAAAGGCTGGCACTTTAATTCTAATGGCTCAAATAGGCTGTTTTATACCCTGTAATGGCTCTCACGGAGATATTCCTAAGCTATCTATTTTGGACGGTATTTTATGTAGAGTGGGCTCTTCTGATTCGCAAACCAGGGGGGTCTCAACTTTTATGGCGGAAATGATTGAGACTACCGCAATATTAAAAGTTTGATATCCATAATAGTTGTTTTTTAAAACTAAATAGACTTGATAACTAATATTATATTTATATAATATTAATCCATTTAACATTGTATCATAAAATACCAGGGACGAAGCGTTCATAGAAGCAAGGGAAGCATTGCTTCCCTTGAAATTTTTTTACAAAATTCTTAGATAAACTTAATATAATCTTTATACTATGCTAAAAAAAAATAAAATTACTTCCTTAAAATAATTAATATATTTTTTATAACGTTAAAAAGATTTATAATATTTTACTATGATAAAAAATTTACTATTATTTTTACTACGTTCAAAAATTTACTATTATTTTTACTACGTAAAAAAATTTACTATTATATTTACTATGTTAAAAAATGATGGAAGCAAATTTAATATTGCTTATTTTCCTATAATAAATATACTAATAAATCATGATTCATACGATATTTTTTTGGTGTAATTTTTTTATTACGTTAAAAAAAATATACAAGAGGGAAGCAAATCTAATATTGCTTATTATTTAATAAATAAATAGAAAATCATGTTATGATATTGTTTAATTTTACGATTAAAAAATAAGCATTGGGGAAGCAAATAAAAAATTGCTTATTCTTTTATAAAAGAAAATAAATTTTTTATATTAAATTTTTTTCTTACTTTTTTTATAATAAATTTTTTTTCTTACTTTTTTTAAAAAAAATTTTTTTTCTTTAAATTAATGTTTAATAATTGTAATTGTATTATTGAAAATTTATTAATATTATCATTTATCTCAAGAAATATTGGTACCAAAAAATTAATTATTGAAAAAGGAAGACCAAAGCCAATTTTAAGAAATTTAAAAAAAGAAATAAAATCTTGCATTCCTAATTTTTCTATCGATAAATATGAATGGCTCACTGGATGTGAATTTTCTAATTCTCTATATTGTTGGTCATGCTTATTATTCCCAAAGGAAAAATATGTTTTAATGATAGAGGATTTTCGGATATGAATAATTTTTTAAAGGCAGTTAAACGACATGAAGAATCAACAGCTCATTTGCAGTCGATGATTCAATTAAAAACATTTGGCGAAATTCCTATTGGAAATATGATAGATTCGATGCACAAAATATCAATCGAACAGCATAATTCGAAAGTTAAATCAAATAGAGAAATATTGAAAATTTTAATCAATTCTATATGTTTTCTTGGAGTTCAGCAGCTCGCATTCCGTGGTGATGATTGACAAAACTCAAAAAGGAACTACGAAAACGAAACAAAGAAAACTTACCCCAATCAAATATATATAAAAAAAACTCCCTAACTTACAGAAAGACCTTCTTACTAATTCTTAGACTTGGTAAAATTTCCACAACAGATGATTACAAACGGTTTTTATTTAAAATATTCAAATTATTTAAAATCATAAAAAATCATTTTTTATTTGAAAAAAAGAATTTATCATCGTAAAAAAAAATAATAAATGTAAAAAAAAATGTATATCAAAAATCAAAGTTTTAATGATTGACATTTTTTTAATATACATAAAAAAATGTTATAATTTAAAACATGCCACCCCTTTATGGGCGCATGGCATGAATATAAAAAAAATAATAAGATATTACTACAAAATTTTCGATGTACTAACACTAATACTATAGAATTCAATAATGTACTATGATACTAATAGGGGTGTTATGATGAAGACATTTTATGGGCGACATCAAGGTAGTAATAATTGGTTTTCCCACAATTCCATCGCGTCGTTATTTTGTTACAATATCTGGGATCCCTAAGTGCACGGGGCGGTTTCAACGATAGTAGTCATAGCTCTTCTGAGAAGATTCTCCTCCGGGGGCGTTGACGAGAGACTGGAACTATTATTGGATGTTCGCATTAAATTTCCTCTGTTCGCCGATGGAGCTGAATGTGTGCTAGGGAGCGACAGTTGGATCTGCATCTGTTCGCGCATCCTTCTGTTGGTATTCCCCGCGGACTGGCCCAGAGAATTGGTATTTATAGTAGTGAGGGGGGGGGCGAGAATCTCCACTGATGACACTGCATTGACTCCTGATGTGACCATCACTGTTACAGTTGTAACAGCGTCGCTTCCTCGGTCCAACGGAGGCCCTTGAATTTTCTTGGGATCTTGGCGACTGGATGTTCATCCCTGTATTTTTGGGGATCAAAGTCACTTGTAAATAGCAGGATCCAAAATCAATTAAACGGCTGTTTGTCTCCATGTCTAATATTATTTGGGCGGCTAGCGAGTATTATCAATCGGATGAAGGAGTGTCGACCCAGAAACGGATTATAATATATATTTTTTTTTATATTCAACACGGATGGGAAACAACTTTGGAAGAAAAAAAAACTATTTTAATTTAAAAAAAAAATATTTAAATTAACAAATTTTATTTTAAAAAACTTAACGAGGATACACCAAAAAAGAAAGGCATATATATAGTGTGTACATTGATGCAATTAAAAAAAATAATTAATAACAAAAAAAACGACAATTTCAAAATAATTTATTCTCACTCTTATTCCAATAAAATATATACGTTAAATTAAATAAAATTTCAATAATTATATCTGAATCCCCATTAATTATAAAATCATGTAGATTCTTTTATTCAATTTATGAAGGTTTATTCTTTTTAAATGATAATGCCTGTGCCCCTATGCCCCGTAAAGAGGTAACACAGTTTTGGCCTAAATCAAAGAAACCTTGGGAACGTATCCACATCGATTTCTTTGATCTTGATAAAAAAACATATTTTTTAGTGGTAGACTCGTATTCTAAATGGATAGAATATGCAGAAGTACATGGATATACCACGAAAATTGTTGTTAAAAAATTAAGAGAATTATATGCTCGGTTCGGTTTTCCCGACACGATAGTGTCTGACGGGGGTCCCGCCTTTGTCAGTAAAGATTTTAAACAGTTTTGTGTTGAGTCACAGACAAAACACATTCTAGCTCCACCATATCATCCCAGCTCGAATGGACAAGCTGAGAGGATGGTAGCCATTGTTAAAAATTGGATTAAAAAGGCTGGAACCCATAAAGAGGAGGCTTACATGTCTCAATTATATTACCTCAATTCTCGCAATCGAGAGGGGGTTACACCTGTCGAGTTATTTTTAGGTAGGCGGACTTGGGGTCCTTTGGATTTCTTAAAACCAAAGAAGAAGATTATTACCTCAATGGAAGTAAAATTAGGGGTACGGTTTGCCGTGGGACAAAAAGTGTGGGCCCGATTGTTTGACAATCGGGCAACCAAATGGGAAAGGGGTCGGGTCATATTGAACCGGGGTTCGAAATTGAGTGAAATTTTGTTAATAACAGGGGTGACTGTGATTCGTCATCACGATCATGTAAGATTGGGATAAATAGGAAGCGTCTTAATTTTTGGTTTGGTTCATGTCAGTCAGGGTTCCGAATAAGTGGTCATATTCGTAATAATTCAATATGCCCTGGTTTGGGGGTCAGTTTGATTAAAATTATAGCTCAATTTTGACAGGTTCATTAAAAGTTTTTTTTTTACCATTTTAATGATATTGGAAAGTTTTTTTTTCGTGCATGGGTGGCGTTAAGGAATGTTCGTGAATCAGTATAATTTTTTTTGTAAATATGCTTATAAGATGGAAAGTTTTTGTTTTTAAATGTTATTAAAAAAATGGTTTGTCGTGTGTTATCTGTTTTTACAGTCAGATGACTGTTTTAATGAATAAGAAGATTTTTATGATATTGGTAAGGTTGGTGGATATTTTTGTTTAAAAGAAAAAATTGTTTTGTCTGGCCAGTTGCCAGGGTAGGTGACAGTTTTGTTTAAAAAATAAAATTTTTTAAAATTATTAGTCTGTTAGAAAGGAAAAGAATAAGAAAAGTTTATGAATAAACATGTGTGTGCCTCATCTAGTTTACATCCCATAAGTCGGAGTGAGAATAAATTATTTTGAAATTGTCGTTTTTTTTTGTTATTAATTATTTTTTTTAATTGCATCAATGTACACACTATATATATGCCTTTCTTTTTGGTGTATCCTCATTAAAGTTTTTTAAAAAAAATTTGTTAATTAAAATAGTTTTTTTATCTTCCAAAGTTGTTTCCCATCCGTGTTGAATATAAAAAAAAATATATATTATAATCCGTTTCTGGGTCGACACTCCTTCATCCGATTGATAATACTCGCTAGCCGCCTAAATAATATTAGACATGGAGACAAACAGCCGTTTAATTGATTTTGGATCCTGCTATTTACAAGTGACTTTGATCCCCAAAAATACAGGGATGAACATCCAGTCGCCAAGATTCCAAGAAAATTCAAGGGCCTCCGTTGGACCGAGGAAGCGACGCTGTTACAACTGTAATAGTGATGGTCACATCAGGAGTCAATGAAGTGTCATCAGTGGAGATTCTCGCCCCCCCCCCTCACTACTATAAATACCAATTCTCTGGGCCAGTCCGCGGGGAATACCAACAGAAGGATGCGCGAACAGATGCAGATCCAACTGTCGCTCCCTAGCACACATTCAGCTCCATCGGCGAACAGAGGAAATTTAATGCGAACATCCAATAATAGTTCCAGTCTCTCGTCAACGCCCCCGGAGGAGGATCTTCTCAGAAGAGCTATGACTACTATCGTTGAAACCGCCCCGTGCACTTCGGGATCCCAGATATTGTTACAAAATAACGACGCGATGGAATTGTGGGAAAACCAATTATTACTACCTTGATGTCGCCCAAAAATGTCTTCATCATAACACCCCTATTAGTATCATAGTACATTATTGAATTCTATAGTATTAGTGTTAGTACATCGAAAATTTTATAGTAATATCTTATTATTTTTTTTATATTCATGCCATGCGCCCATAAAGGGGTGGCATGTTGTAAATTATAACATTTTTTTTACTATTATTTTTTTTTACAAAAATTCTTTTTTCAAATAAAAAATGATTTTTTATGATTTTAAATAATTTGAATATTTTAAATAAAAACCGTTTGTAATCATCTGTTGTGGAAATTTTACCAAGTCTAAGAATTAGTAAGAAGGTCTTTCTGTAAGTTAGGGAGTTTTTTTTTATATATATTTGATTGGGGTAAGTTTTCTTTGTTTCGTTTTCGTAGTTCCTTTTTGAGTTTTGTCATACGAGGCAGAGTTCTCCCGAGCATGCGCAGAAGGACGAGATTAGTAACGCAATATAAAGGATAACAGACAAAAAATGCGCCCATTCTACCCCACAGCTTACAAGTTAAAGTTGTGACGTAACAACGCCGAGTATCGATGCCTGAATGTTTGGATGGGACTTTAATGAAGCCATCCCCTGTCAACTCCTCTTCATCTTCAAAATCGGAAGTTTGATTGTATTTTCGATTATCAAATCCTTTCTTTTCTTGTAACCTCTTTTAATATTTTTAACAACCATCCTATTGGCCACCTTACCAGCCAAGGCTTCGCAAAGCCGTTTAGCTATGTATCGAATCACGAAAGACGAAATTAGGGCAAAAAATAGCACCCCAATTCTGTTCGATTTCTCGTCGTAAATCCTGGTCACGGCACCAACTGACAAAACTCAAAAAGGAACTACGAAAACGAAATAAAGAAAACTTACCCCAATCAAATATATATAAAAAAAAACTCCCTAACTTACAGAAAGACCTTCTTACTAATTCTTAGACTTGGTAAAATTTCCACAACAGATGATTACAAACGGTTTTTATTTAAAATATTCAAATTATTTAAAATCATAAAAAATCATTTTTTATTTGAAAAAAGAATTTATCATCGTAAAAAAAAATAATAAATGTAAAAAAAAAATGTATATCAAAAATCAAAGTTTTAATGATTGACATTTTTTTAATATACATAAAAAAAATGTTATAATTTACAACAATGATGAATCACCTAATTCAGTAAATAGAGGAAATTATATTGAATTAATTTATTTGCTCGCAGAAGAAAATTTGTTATTAAAACATCATTTAGAAAATAGTACAACTTTTATTGGACTATCAAATGATATCCAAAATGATTTAATTAATTCCATTTCATATGTCTTACACCAAAAAATATTAGATGAATTGGAAGAAACGGAATTTATAACAATAATATTAAATGAAACAATTGATATAAATAATAAATCCCAACTGGCTGTAGTTCTTCGATATGTTTTAAATAACGGGACATTATATGAAAGATTTATTGAATTCTTTGATGTTACAATGCATCGTGATGCTAATTCTTTATCAAAATTTGTCATTAAATTTTTGAATGATAAGAAAATTATGAAAAAATTGATAGGTCAAAGTTACGATGGCGCAGCTGTTATGTCAGGTGATTCACATGGACTGCAAGCAAAAATTAGAGACGTCAATCCTTCTGCACTTTATATTCATTTTTTTGCCCACAAGTTAAATCTTATATTATCAAAATCTTGCAGCAAAATTAAAGAATGTAAGGTTTTTTTGCAACTTTATCTGGTTTAGCCAGTTTTTTTAGTACATCATCTAAGCTTACAGCAGAATTTGATAAATATGTTAAAAAAAGATTACCACGAGTAGCCCCAACAAGATGGGAATACAATGGTCGGCTGGTTCAAACAGTTTTCAATTATTTGAAGGATCTAGTCGTTTTTTTTGAAAGTATGATTGATGAAAAATCTGATATTGTTTGGGATAATGATGTTCTAATAACATCTCGTGGCTATTTAAATATATTAAATGATGCAAATTTTCTAATTTTGGTATATTTTTTTCAAGAAGTTTTTCCAGAATCTGATTTATTATTTGATATACTTCAAACAATAATTAACGATGTATTATATTGTCTTAAAAGTATTAACGATTTCAGAAATTTAGTTAAATCTAACATAGAAAACTTTGATGTTTTTTGGAGAAATTTAAATGTAAAGGAAAATATTGAAGACAATTTAGATAAAAAACGTAATAGATCCGGATTGCCTAATACAAGAGAATTTTATAAAAATTTGATAATTAAAATAATAGATACTATAATCAATGAAATTGATTTTCGGTTTGATACATTAAAAAATATCAAATTCGTCGAATTGTTAGATATTAGTAAATTTCAAATATTTAATCAAAATTTCCCAAAATATTTATTAGACAATTTAAATGATACTTATTCTCAATTTTTCGACTTACACAAGCTGGAAACCGAATTAAAGGTAGTGTTTCGTGACGATGAATTTAGAAAGAGAAAAAATGTTTATGAAATACTTGAATTTTTAATTAATACCAATTTGATGAAAAGTTTTAAAGAGTTTTTTAAATTATGCAAATTCATTTTAACTTTGGCTGCAACAACAGCAAGTGCAGAACGGGGGTTTTCATCTTTAAAAATAATCAAATCTTATTGTAGAAACAGAATGAGTCAAAATCGATTATCGAATCTAGCTTTGATTTCTATTGAAAAATTTAAAATCTAGTAATAACTTTTATAATTCAGTACTTGATTATTTTACTCAAAAACAAAGACGAATTCCGCTTATTTATAAATCTTAATTTTTTATGGTTTGACTAATTAATAAAATAAAAAAATTTTTTGATTGCTTCCCTAGTAGTAAACTTGACGCCTCGTCACTGTAAAATACCTACCATTTAGATATCAAAAAATAAATAGGGACATGTGATATTAAAAAATTGGTATATCACTTTGTCAAAATATATGAAAAGAAAACAAACATAATATTATTAACCTAAATAAAATTAATTGCCAAAAAAATTAAAATCTTTAATATGAAAATATAGGATAAGTTTTATTTAAATATTTTAATTTAAAAAGATAATATCGAATTTCCTATAATAATATTGATTTTTTTTATTTTTTGGTCAATTTTTTTTTTGATTTAAGCGCTCGTATTTTTTTGAGAAGTTGTTTCCTTTCAACAAATTTATTACTGAACAATATTATTAAATATGTACCTGCCCATGCCCCGACCATCACTGTTTAGATCTGGCCGACTTTTTAAAAAAAATATAAATATATTTATTAATGTATTTATTTTAAAAAATAAAGATTTATCAATCAAAATTTGTTTTTTTAAATATTCTAGTTTTTAATTTAATATGAAATTTTTCCTAGACATAAGAAATCATCCCTTGATGAATTTGAATACTATCTATTAATTATATTTATTATATTGTTCGTATGAAGTCGAAAATGTCAAATTAAAAAAACGGAATTATACCTTTTCTGTGTTCGAGAACATCTCGAAGATGATATTCATAAATGAATAGGAATTTAATGATAATTATATTTTAAATGAGTTGTTAAAAATAATCCCTATAAATGGGGGAGATTTCTTAAATATTCCCAATTTGGAAATGTTTATCGAGAATATCTACGAAATCTCTATTTTAAACGATTTTTTATAAAACTCAATATGAAATATAGGTATTATCTTTCCTAGCATCCTTTCAATGTTATTTTTCGAGACTATATAAGAAATATTTCCAGTTTTTTGCATTTCACATTTTCAAGTTAATATTTATTACTGGGTGGGTTATTTAAAAAAATAATTCGGATTTAGTACTGATTATAACATATTATAATTTTTACATACGAGGAATGACATTTATATTAAAAATAATGATTCTATCGCAGCAAGCTACAGAGCACTCATTGATAATTATAGACGAATTGGGTCGAGGAACTTCCACCTACGATGGGTTTGGCTTAGCTTGGGCCATATCAGAGTACTTTTTTTGTTAAAAATTATATTGTTTAATAAAATTTAATGGAGTAAGTATTAGACAGATATAGAGAAATTCTCACTTTTAACAAATTTTTTTTTTTACCAGAAATGTATTTCAGCATATGACCTGTGAATTTCAAATGTCATGAGTGCCATTTTAATTTTTTTTCATATAAATATTCTGTAGTGCTACAAATTAATGGGTGTTTAAAATTTCATGACCAAATTGTGTGAAATTTATACGGTTAACTATTCTACACATGCTAGCTTATATTTCCGGTATAATCTGATTTTTGAAATTAAATAAAAGATTAGAAAAGAACACATTGATTCTAACATATACATATAAATTTTTTAAAAAGGTCTTTTGTTTATTCATTTTTATAATATATAGATATATATTACTATGGTCCCAAAATAGAATTTGGGTTCGCTTGAAGTTAGGGATTTTAATTGAAAAGTTAATGCCAAAGATGTCTATTTGCTAATTATTGGTGTAAAAAAATTTTTTTTTAATTATTTTGATTTCGTGGATATTAATAGGTTTGGATCTGTTTAGAACGAGAACATACAAATGAAATTGCAAGAGATTTTTTAAGGTCTGTTGGTTCGATATTATTTTTAATGATACCTTCTCTAGATCTTGCCGATTAATTAATAAATTATTAGATTTACTGAGGCATGCATTGATATGTCAACCTTGACTACATGAACAGTTTAGTTCATCCCCCCTCCCCCAATCTACATTAGATCGATATTTACTATTTATACGAATGGACAATGTCATATTTTAGATCTATAGCAAATCTTACTTGCTCAAATAAAAGATTGCTAGTAGGGTTATGATGTGAAATATTTTTAACCATTCATATCATTACTCTCTGCGATTGGACGAGATGAGTTACATCAAATCTAAAAGGGGTTACGATAATATATTTCTATAAAAGCTTAATAGTAAAGGTAGGAAAAGTTTTTATGAAAAGGATACTTGCTTCTGATGTATTTATTTTGCATGATTGAATAATTGATCGGTGTCGATATCAAGATATTAGGGAAATGGATATAAAAAAAAACTATGAAAGAAAAGACGAATTCAATTGATCTAGACAACCAGATTTAAAAAACGATTGATAAAATTAACCCCAGTTGAAATTTGTTAATTTTATCATTTAAATCATTTTCTAAAAAAATATATAGTTCTGTAATTTAATTAAAATATGAAAAGAATGTGACAACATAAAAATGTGTACAAATTCACGGATTAAGGATAAACTTTGGTGATGGTACGTGAATAAAAAACTATAAGCGAGCTAACAGGATTATTTTTTTAAGTGGCACAGTTTTGTAATCAGCTAAACCAAGTTAGAAGATTTGATATTTAAAAAATATACCCCTTTTTTCACCTCGATTAAAGTAGTACCCCAAAAGTGATAAGTTGTTAATGTACGTTTAAAACGGCTGATGAAAGTCCACATTAAAAAATATATGGTTGAAAGCATTTCTATATGCTAACTTTGGTAATTCACCCTGTCAAATAGCGAAATACAAAAATATCTAAAATGGTGACTTTTACCTTTAATAATAATCTTATAATAATTGAAATATCATACGGTTTACAGATCTTTCTGGTTATGTGACAAAATTGTGGTTCATTAAATATAATATTGGTTTAGGTTCGGTTTGTATCCCCGGTGAATTGAAATACGAAAATTATTCATATTGGTTTTTAATATTTTCAGTTTTACATATTATCTTTTTATCAATATTTGTTGTATAAAAAGATATTATGGTATTGAAGTTACCTCATGTAGGCTATATTCTATTTATATTCCCTAAATGTTTTGAGAATTCCTCTCTTAGGTTTTTCACAATAAGGCTAAATTAGAGAAGGTTTTTAAAATAATACACTCATCATTTACCCATAATTATCCAACGTGATAAAACTCTTAGATTTCAATTAAATAATAATTTAAGATCTGAAGATATCTTTAGTTTAAAAAAAAATTAAAAGTCGATTTTTAACCATTTAACTCTCACCAAAGTTTATTTTAAACATATTTTTGGCATTCGCATTTCTTTTTACACACTAATATTCACAAATACAGTTTTAAATTTTGTTATTGAAATATATTTTGAATGTTTAGTTAGTAAATTTTATAACTCATTCCCAATATCCAGCTAAATCTGGTCTTCTAAATTTATTTACTCATCTTGTATCTATAACACCTCCAGATTGAAATTCTATTATATACCAACATTAAAATGTGTAAAAAATACATGGAAAGGGAATTATTTTCTGACTAATTTTAAAAATTTATACAACAAAAAATTTACCTCTTCAATATACTTACAGTTGATAATAGACTATTAATACTTGAAGTTTTTGAAGCACTTACTCAATATTAATCTCGAAATCTCTTAAAAAATAAGAATTTTTGTAGGTTTAAGATTAAAGTATGATGATTTCATTTATATCAACGTATTGGTGAACTAAAAGGAACACTTGGACTAAACTATTCTTATATCTAGACCTACCAATTTTATGCCTTAATAAATTTAATATAAGGTTTTAGATCCTTATCCTTACATATCTAGTTTATTGAACCAATCAATCTGTCATTAGAAGATACTGTGACACCTGACGAAACTTAATCCCTTTTCTTAGATATTCTAAACATATATAATAAATTATCAAGACACATCGCATTGAATATTGGTTGCTTCACGTTTTTTGCCACCCATTTTCACGAATTGACTCAATTGGCTCAGGAAATAGCAACCCGTTTAGAAAATAAAATGAAGCTTTCGAACATATCGTCAAATTCTCCTCATGACAATATTTTGGACGTCACTAATTGCATGAATAAAGAAATCGAAGTTAAAAGTTATTCAAATAATAATTTCGATATAGTCAAAAATTTACACGTTACGGCTTTGATTGTTGGCTCCGATATTAAAAATGGTATGGATATCGAAATTAATGACAAAGGACTGGATTGTTTGGGAAGGGAAGATAAAAATTTGGTTCTTTTATATAAGGTTAAACGCGGAGTTTGTGACAGAAGTTTTGGCATACACATCGCGAAGATGGCCAAGTTCCCCGAATCCGTTATAAAGGTTTTTATAATAATATAATGATGATTTATATATGTTGTATAATTTTTTATAAAAAGTGAGATTATAATTAACTATAAAAAAATGTATTAAGTGTCACTAGCTTTCCTAGCAACGTCACTTGATGTTTTTTCTTGATTTGCGACAATGTACTTTTCATATATCTTGATTTAAAACAATAATTATTAGATGGCTAAAGAAAAGGCGGACGAGTTAGGAGATTGTTCATATGATGATTATTATACGGATATAAATGAAAATGAGAACAACTTTTATAAGAATAAAAAAGTAAAAAATTATTTTTAATTTCATTTTTATGAAACCAAATAAATTATTATTATCAACATAAATTTTTTATATATTAATATTATGTTCATAGGAAGGATTAATAATAATCAAGGAATTTTTGAAAAAAGTTCAGATGACATTAAATAAATGTGAAGACTTTCCATCTTACGATTCCAAAGTTCATATTCGAGATAAAATATTGGATGATCTTAAAACGCAATTTTTAAATCAGAATATAAATAATTCTTATATAAAGATGCTGATTAACAAACTCCATTAAAATCTCATAACATTATATCGATATCATCAAATATTATGTTATTTTAAATAATTGTGATAGTATATTTATATTGTAATAAAAAGTATATGTTGTAAAACATAAATGTTTATTCATTTTTTGTTTATGATATAATTTAGTTATTCAAAATTATAAATATATTATAAAATGATTCATGCATTTTTACTTCATTTATCCTTATCCATGATCCCATCTAATATAATCATTATATACAGGGTAACGCTTTTTTTGTAAAAAATAGCATATATTAAATTAATGTAACTTATAATCTGAACCAAAATTTTGAAAGTTAATATTAATATATTATATTTTTTTTATTTAATTATTTGTCTGCATTTTCGCTCCTTATCCAATGTTCTAATTTGGGTATTTTCTGAAACTGAACAATGTTAAAAAAATTTTACAAACCCTAACCGAACTCAATTTTTTTAAACCTGGATAAACGATCAGTGTATTTTATATTAAAAATCATATTTTCATATACTAGGAGATATAAATAATAATTAAGAAAATGAGATTTCAGAATTTATATCGGCATCTTGTGCAAATGTCATTTAATTGCTGAACAGACATATTAATCTAGAAGCGTAAGACATAAAAAATAATATAATTTATAAGTGAGCGGAATTCGTGTTTGTGATTGTATAGAAAAATCTTGGATATTTATAAATTTAATTTTCTTATATTTGCCAATTAGTGTATAACTTGGGGTTGATAAGTAAACATAAATTTCTCCAGATATTCTTTTTGATGTGCTAACACTCCAAACTATGTTTAATCAGGAAGATGATTTTTATAGATTTTGTAGGAATACTTATGCCTTATATCAAAAAAGTTTTATGGTGAAAAGGAGGCCAAAAATAGTTTTTGGTCAATATCTTTTGAACATGGAACTCAACTTCTTAAGAAACATGGTAACTAGTATATATTTTTTACATATTTGCACCAAATACCTTCAGTTGTTAAGAACATAAAATGATTGGCTTTAGACTTTATACCACAATTGCAAAGTAACCATTACCTTTCTTCAGATAATTATGTTTGGTTTAGTTATATATCCTCTTCCAAATGAATCGTGTCCTTCCTTTTCCCAATATACATATGGGAACTAAGTTAGAAAAAATAAACTACATTGCTAATATAAATAAATATATAATGACAAGAATAATTATGGAGATTAAATACGCGTAGTATGAGAAAATTGAGGGATATTGTAGCGGTATATATCGGCATATTGTAATAGAGAATAATTAACTTAAAAAATTTAATATTGCAAAATCCTTCATTTTTATTTTTCGAATTTTCAAATCTCCATCAGAATTTACCATCATAAAAAAATCCTTTTTCCAACAAGCAAATGATTCCATTTCATTGGCATATATATATAATATGATAGTAGAGAAATGTAAATATAATATATATCTGATACCACTTATTTTATTGAAAAATTTTAAGTATATTTTATTTATTTAGATAAAGATCAAACTATAACAAAAAAAATAATCCTCGCACAGGAAAGGGTTAAGACGCAGATTATGATTTACCTTAAATTAGTTATTATCAAATAAACATTAAACTAAATAATTTCGAGTCTCAATGCAACTAAATTGGATAATAATTAAAGGTCAAATGGACAAACAAAACAAGATATAGATTAAGAAATATTATCATTTTTTACTCAAAATTAATTTGATGACTTTGGCGCCCTGTTTGGATTTTAAAAAATAAATCCTTCATAAACTTTTTAAAATAAAGAAAAGTAGTTTTAGGTCAGATCCACTTTTTTAAATCACTATAAATGTTAACAATGAAAATTTTAGTTCCTATCTTTTAACATTGAAGCGTTTTAAACACAGGGTTAAAGAAGTGGGCAAGGATATCGCTTTATAATTCTTAGATACTGTTGAAATTATGTTTTGAAATGGGGGAAACCGAGGATAATGTTATCCCGGGCTAAATATTTTCTTATCAATTAATTTTTAAACTAATTATACCTTGAGATTTATAAATCAAAAATATATGTTTATATAAAAGGAATTGTTCTTAATATGTTACTTTTATTTTTAAAAGTATTGGTATATAATTACTTTTCGAAAATTGTATTCGATAATTTTATTAAAAATTATTATTTTCGTAAAAGTAAAAAAACGAATTGATAAAAAAACCATCAGAGAAACGAGGGATATTTTATTCTGTATCGCCGTTGATGACGATATCCTTTAAATAATTTAATATGATACTTTTTTTATTCTTTTTAAAATAAAAACAAATATAAAATGATACAATTTCTTTTTAATTTTATAAATATAATCAATCTGTTATTTTTATAAATTAATACATCTGTTAAAATAAATCACTTTATCAAATAAAATATATATTAAAAAATGTAAACTACAACAATTAATTTTATTAGCATATCTAAAATGAAAGTGCATAAGGGAACTTTTTTATTTAAATATAAATTTCAAGTAATAAATTCGCATAATATATTTACAAAAATAAAAAGTACACATAGATGTCTAAGGTTAATTATATTTATTGAATTTCTACCCAATGTTATTTAAATATAAAACCCTTATGGACATCTCTGCATTGACTATGTAATCTAAAGTTGTTCATGTGATTTGGAAGTTAAACGAATTGAAAACGACGGAATCCTAAATGCCCTAGTTGCTGACATGAAGTTAATTGGTGTTTAAATATTCGATGTTGTCCACATGTGACCCACCAGGGATAAGGATATTATATCTAATATCCTTGCGCCACCAATCCTGGTTGTTGCCTAATCGATACGGTGATGGATGTATTAGAACATAATTCTGTACCAAACTATATATATCTCGCATCACGTCTCTAAGGTCTAGGAATTATATGTTCATTTATTATATCTTCTAATTAATAATTTTTTTAATTTAAAATTAAATAAAAGACATTTATATAAAAACACTAACTTATGACATCTTGACCAGAATACACGGATGAGGTTCCTACCCTGTGACAGTAGGCTGGTAAATGAAAGAATAATCTAGTCAAGAGGGTTCTAATAGTTCAAAATAATTGTATTCAGATTTGCATTGATTCTAATTATTTTTATAATTTTATCCAAATGGTAATATTACCGAGGTAATGATAATTTATTAAAACGCCAAGCGTTTGACACCTGTAAAATTAGTAATCGAATATAAGTTTAAAAAATATATTTACACTAAATTTCTACATAATATTTTCATAAATGGAATTAATTTTATGACTTAAAATATAGTTCTTTTTTTTTGGAGGGGGGGGGGACTTATCTCCAAACTTTGTAACCTATTGAAAAGTCAAGTAACTTGTTGCTAGCTTATATCACTGTGAGGCAACCAGAGTAGGAGTATGGTACCTCTATAATAAAACTAATAAGTGGTATGCGAGGTTTTCACTTGCTAAAAAACTTTGCTTCTTTTCCCTCCTTCATCTAATCAAAAAAGCATCATTCCCATTATGGCGCTACAGGGCTATAATACTCTACTACTAACTATCAAAAAATGAATGTTAAAAGTTTATTTTTAGAACACGAGTCAGATTAAAAATCCCCTCAATTACAATTATTAATATATAATATATTTGGCATAAATAACAGTTTGCTTATACATGCCTAATCCTTTTAAATTAAAGAGATGTTAAACGAAAAATGGAGTATTAGCAAGAAATAAAAACTATATTTTTCCTATTTATACACATTTTTCGAGTCGATAAAAAGTTAAGAAGAAAACAATAAGAATGAGAAATTAGCACCCGACTTTTTTTCCCTCGATGAGAAATTTTTTTTTGACAGGTAGTTATTATAGACACAAATAACACATTTTCATCAAAAAATAACTTATTACGAGTATTTTTATCAAATAATCAATGATTCCAATTGTCATCAATGTGAGCAAGGTCATTTAAAAAAATTTATTTCATATGAAATGATAAATAACAATTTCATTCATTATTTAAGCATAAATAAGTATATGGAAAATAATTCTTGAATCTTCTACGGGCATTGGGAAATGACTTACTTGGTCATATCTCATATCCGATATGAGTGCAATATTGATAGCTTTTCTTCTTTTAATAACTACGCTAGAAGGACTTCTGGTCTTCTTAATATTATCCTTTTCCGCTAGCATCAACCCTTTTGCTATCTGCGGTTTCTATACCAGCAATGTTATAAATTTTATATTATTTAATGCTTTCATATGGTCCTATAAAGGTTACACAAGAATCTAATAAATGGAAATTCATTCTCATATAATATCGTTTCCATTTAATATCTTTCCGATATAACTCCACTAGCATATTGTAATGATCTACTCCACCCATTCCCTCATTATAGTTTTCAATTATGGCTGGAATTTCTATATTAATAAAGAATTTATCCAAAGCTGACTATCGTTTAACTTTGGATGTAGGTAAACACCTATAAATTTAGATACATTAGTAACGGATTTGTTGTCCTGCCTGTAGTAATAATACAGATAATAATACCAGCTTTTGTAATCTATAACGCCTCTTCTTTCTTTTTGTATATGACCGATTAATACTAACCTTTAAATTGTTTTTTTATGTTTATATAAATTGATTTTTTTTATATAAATTTTGAAAATTGATTTTTTTATATAAATTATTATATTAATATGTAAATTGATTTTTTGTCTGTAACATGCTATATAAGCATTATATTTTTAGTTTTAAAATAGATGAAAAATTTTAAAAAATAAATTATAGTAACATTCAAATATTCTTAGTAAACTTTATCGTGGCAGTTCCGCTACATATTCGAGAAAATCGTAAATAAATAAATAAATATGAAACAGATTCCCAATAATAATGTTAATATAAATATTGAATTTCCAATATACTCAGGCAATGGCGATCTTTTTTTGAGTAGATTAGAAGACATCTTCAAGGACACTCAGATCTCGGACATCGAAAAAGCAGGTTCCTTTACAAGGAGACTACCAGATGAGGTATATATCAAGCTCAAATCGATATGTTCACCTAC